TATGTGAAAATTAACAAAAGAAAGTGTCAAAGAATCCATCCCCCGGGCCTGAAATACATGAACCTCACCAAGCAAAAAGGAACTTCACCAAATAGAACACTGCAAGAGTGAATGGTTAAGGGACACGTGAAAGCAAAGGGACTTTACCTTTAAGCGAAGGGTTCTGTTGCATTTGTTGAGTAGTAGTCCAGCACCAAAGAATTGAGAGACTACATATCCTTGAGCTATTTTCATCATAAATCTAGCATGAGAAAATGAGACAATGATGTAGCCAGAGATGTCTTGCCGATCCATAAATTACATTTTTTTGAAACAAAAATCCAACGGATCCATAAATTGCATGGTTAAATAATGATAGTAATTTTTTCATATAAACATGTAGCATGATTTATATGATAATGATATAAATATGTTGGCCGGCAAGTCATCCTTGGCTGCATCGTATATATATAATCTCATTTCCCCATGCAAGACTTGAGATGAAAAAACATTGCGATTCACGGCAATAATTCTCTCTCCCCAAGCAAAACAAAGCATCATTTCAACCAATGAATTGAAACCCAGAATCCCATAAAAGTCCCAGATGAAGAGATCTAGGAACTTTCCCAAAGAAGACAAGGTATAAAAAAAAAGAAGAAATCAACCATCATCATTCAAAGGAAGAAAAAAGGGAAAGGCAGAGAAGAAGAAGTGGGGATTGGAGGAGAAAGGTGTTGATGGCAGAGGAATGGGTAGGGTTTTGGTTATTTTTATAAGAGAAAAAAGGTTTTCACAAATGGAGGATGCGAGAGCAATAACGGGGCATGCATTTACACAAGGAAGGCAGCTATGGAACTGAGTGATAGGGGTTCTGGTTGTCCATTGGGGTATAAGAGGGAAAGTGAGTATCTGACAGCCATGGATGTGACTTTGCATGGAGGGTGATACAACCAACAGTCTTCAGCCTTAAAGATCTGTCCTTTTCATTTCTAGTCTGTCTGGTTTATTTTTTTCTGACTTCTTGTTATCGACTGTCGTTTAAGAGACTTCTGATTTAACAGTGCACTAATTTTACACTGTACTATCAACAATAAATTACTAGGGAAATTAATGGCAATATTCTCGGCGTAATACTTCTTTTCCTATCAAAATGGCATATAAATATAAAATTAGGGTAAAGTATAGTAATGCTCACTGAACATTTCAGAAGCTTGCATTTAGGTCCCCCAACATTTAAAACTTGCAATACAGTCCCCAATATTTATTCCGTTTGCAATATGGTCCCCCAACTTAAACCACAGTTAGAAAATTAGGATAAATTATATAAATGGTCATTGAACTTTTCAGTCACTTGAATTTAGGTCCCCCAACTTTTAAAACTTGCAAAACAATCATCAATTTCATTCTAAACCCCAATTTCCAAAGTAATTCAATTTTATTCTAAACCCTAAATTCCAAAATACTTAAATTAAATTCAATTATGTCAAAGTTATTATTATTTAATTTCATCTTATTTCATGTGATACGTATTTTTTATATAAATATAATAGTATAATTCTTATCTGTTGAAGAAATTTTTTAATTAAAAAAGTAGTTAGGATATAAAAGAGGTTGAAAATAATTCGAATTTTAAATTTATAAAATGTTATTTTGACGTATAAATAAAAGTGTAAACTACTCGGTTGACAACTTAACTATCTAGCCCTTTTTACTTTTGTCATCGATCTTTTTAAATTTATCAATCATACCACATAATTATTTAACTGTTTCAACTAAGCCACTAGTTGTTACCAATTGATAAAAATGATGATGTGGCAGTTAAAAGGAATTGACATTATTATACATTCAGTCTTTATTATTTATATAATCAATTTGGTCCTAAATTAAATAAAATTAATAAATTAATCATTTAATTAGGATCTGACATGTGTTTGCACATGATCATGACACGTGTCATTGGTGACACGTGTTACCACCTAATTATTTATATATGCTATCAATTTGGTCCTAAATTAAATAAAATTTAATAAATTAATCATTTAATCAGGATCTGACATGTGTTAACACATGATCATGATATGTGTTATTGGTGACACATGTCACCTCCTAATTAGAAGAAAATTAAGTTACAAAGAAGTAAAATTTGGGTCTTGGGCAAACTCAAACCTGAGTCACGCAAATGAAAGATATAGGGTGGAGCCACTAAGCTAACACCATCGTTTGTGTAAGAGATATACAATAATACATATACTAATAGTATGACCAATGCCAGAAAAAAAAGAATATAATGTAAAATGGAAATAATGAGATTGAACTTCGGCAAAAAATTTGAAAGCAATAAATGATGGGAAAATATTATATTTTTTACAATAAAAAAATATTATATTTGATAAATTGTTTGATAGATTTAATATATTTTTTAAATATTAGTTGATACAATATTTAAAAGAAAAATTTAAGATTTATATATTTTTAAACTAAATTTAATAATTATATTTTTCATATTTATAATTCATGATATATATATAATCTTAAGTTGAGTATTTCTAATATAATTAATAATTTTAATTTCTTATTAAAAATAAAATATTCAAAAAATATAAATGATTCATACATTAATATATGAATATATTTTTTATTTATACATCTAAATATAAATATACATTTATATAAATATATTTTTATTCGTTGTGTCTGTGCCTTGAACTCTTTCTTCAAGCCTATATTACCTTAAATTGAAGTATTTTAGAATTTAATTAAAGTATTTTAGAATTTAGGGTTTAGAATAAAATTGAATTACTCTGGAAATTGGGGTTTAGAATGAAATTGATGACTGTTTTGCAAGTTTTAAAAGTTGGGGGACCGAAATTCAAGTGACTGAAAAGTTCAATGACCGTTTATATAATTTATCCTAATTTTCTAACTGTGGTTTAAGTTGGGGGACCATATTGCAAACGGAATAAATGTTGGGGGACTGTATTGCAAGTTTTAAATGTTGGGGGACCTAAATGCAAGTTTCAGAAATGTTCAGTGACCATTACTATACTTTACCCATAAAATTATTAATTAAAATGACACATTTTTAGTAAAGGAAGCGAATTTCAAAATGCATAGTTTATAGGATGTGTCTTTGTATTATAGGTGATATATTTTTTTTAAATTTCATACATTGACTCATTTTAAGATTTAAATGAAATAAATTTTATTAAAAAATAAAATATATAATACACGTCCAAGTCACATATTTACACAAATATAATTAATCATCGACGGCATTGGCACATGTATAGTAGAAAATGATATTTAAATAAAATATATTTAATAACTTATAGATATAATTACAAGAATTAAAATACAGGGGCTCTTCTGCTGGGCCAACCGAAGGAAATTTGGATTTTTTTTAGATCATTATGGATTTTAGATTTTTTATTTAGCCCATTAAGGCGTTCGGAATTTTATTTTGAAGAATACATAAAATGCTATAGTGAATCTGGAACTCGTCACCTCGAGGTGATGAGTTTGAATAAAAAATATTTTTTATTCAAACTCGTTACCTCAAAGTGACGAGTCCCAATAAAATATATTTTTTTATTAAAATTTATCACATTGAGCTTAAAAAATTAAATAAAATATTTTTTTATTTAAATCGTCACCTCAAAATAACAAATTCTAATAAAAAATTACAAAATAGGCCACATACACTCTTATTTTGAGAACTACAGTATTTTCTAAGGTGCAAGAAACTCGTCACCTCAATTTTACAATTTTTTTCTGGGCTGCCCTATTGGGCAAATAAAAAAGGGAAATTTGCACTTATCCTCGTTTGGGAACCTGGGCTTTGGCGAAACAGAAAACTCATCTCCTGCCCCATGGATCTCATGGAAGACCTGAAAGGAAGAAGACGAGACAAAATCCAATAAAGAGTGCTATAGCAGACTGAAACGGATAAGAGAATGCGCGGTCTAAAATCAGAGAGGACCCAAATGGCTCAAGCTTTATTCAAACCAGCGAGGTTTCTGCACCTTAACCACGTAACTAAGCTCCTAAAAGTTTTATCCGATACAAGAAATTTAATACTAGGCAAATTAATCCATTCCCATTTGCTAGTAACCAATCAAACCTCCTTAGGATTTAGCATACAGCCGTTAAACTCCTTGATCAATATCTACTTGAAATGTAACCAAATTTCTATTGCCCGGAAAGTGTTTGAGAGAATGCCCAACAGAAATTTGGTTTCACGGTGTTCCCTTATGGCAGGGTATTTGCAAACTAGGTTTTCACTGGAAGTATTAAAGTTGTTCGAAAATATGATTTTGATGGATGGTTTGAAGCCTAATGAGTATGTTTTCGCAGTAGTTTTTTCGGTTTGTTCCGATGGTGGGAAGGCATTAGAGGGTAGACAGTGTCATGGTTATGTGGTCAAGTCAGGGTTGGTTTTTCATCAGTATGTTAAGAATGCACTGATAAATATGTATTTAAAGTTTGATGACTGTCAACACCCAGAGTCGATTCAAATTTATGAGAAAGTAAAAGAACTTTTAGCAAGGATCAAGCCATTGTGATACATACCAGATGCTGCTGTGTTGCATGATGTGGAGGAAGAGCAGAAGGAAAACTATCTTAGTTATCACAGCGAGAATTGGCCATTGCATTTGGCCTCATGCATGCTCCCTTAGAGGCACCGATTCGCGTGTTTAAAAACCTTAGAATGTGTGAAGATTGCCACTCTGCTACGAAACTTATTTCTAAGCTCACAAACAGGATGATCGTCGTGAGAGATGCAAATCGCTTCCACAGTTTTCAAAATGGATGCTGTTCTTGTTCAGATTACTGGTAATAAATTAACTGACTATTTCTTTGGATGAATGGAGAACAAATTTGCATGTTCTAGAGCGTAAGGGCATGGATTCAACTCCTATCTCCAGGACACCGGGGATCTATTATACTCATTCTTTGTACCTGGATCTCTGTAAGTATTTCAACGGATGTTCTTAAATAGCTTAGAGCTGCCCCTAAGAAATGAAAAATGGAATCACAGTATATGAATGTTATTAGACTGATTCAGAAAAAATTATTCTCCATTAGTTTTACAAATTCCTGAAAATCTATTCTGCCATCTCTATTTACATCAAAGTTGTTGATCATTTTGTTGCAATTCTCAATCTTTAGACCTTCCTTTAGACCCAGAATACAGAGAACTCTCTGCAACTTTTGTGCATCAATAAACCCATCTTTATTCACATCAAACACATCAAAAGCTTCCTTCAACTCTTCGAAGCTTGGCTCTTCCTCAAACAGCCTGGAAAGCTCATCAGAACCAAATGATTCATTTAGCTCCTCACTTTCTCGGCTGCAAAAAAAGCCCAGATTTCCCATCAACTTCTCCACATCTTTTCCGCAAACTGTCACACAATCTTCTTTCTTATGAAATGGAGCTTCTTCGGTTGAACACTCAAAATTCTGGGTTTTCTGCAAGTCGGGTGATGCCTTTGAGCTGCCATGTTTGGATTGATGGAAAGACCAATAAGTTAACAAGAAACTTTTAAAGCTGTCATAACATGTCAAGCTAAGAAACAACAAGATCATACTGATATCAATGAATGGAATTAGGGTATAGTTTGAGTTTGTTGATGATGCCTCCATTTTGTAAGACCAAAAAGAAGAAGAAGAAGAAGAAGAAGAAGAGTAGAACTATTTGATTGAATGAATGAATTAGGATGTAATGATTGAGGATTGGGATTGCGGTATTTGAAGGCACCATAGATGGCAGACCTGGTCAAGTTTTCAAAGGCGGTTAAGAGGGGAGGAAGCTGCCTATGGTGCAACCGAGAGACCACCTAGGGAACTTGGTCTCCTTAGCTGTCTTCTTCTTATTTGCATGGAATGTGTCTGGTTTGTTGCTTAGAACCTACCGCTATCCTATCGTGTAGGAAAATAGTGTTTTTCAATGGGATTTTTGTTGTCTTTTTGGGACGATGAAGTTTCTTGGAATTGAAGAGTGCTGTGTGTAATAGGCGGTTGCTGCGTTTGCGTTTTCCACTACCCCATTGACTACTGGGATTATTGTTTTTCTTTTATGACTTTGGACAACATATTTAATAACAAAAAACATTTATTTTAATTTAATTATAATATATAGATATTAATATATATATATTATAAAAAAATAAGATTTGTTCGGGTCAAGCCTATAACTTCAAAATTTTATAAAAAATTCTAAATATGAAATTCGTGAACTTGTCTATTGGATGGAATCAAAATATGTTTTGAATTTGAATTAAACTATCCATATATATTAAGCATGTCTCCGGCCTCCTTGCTCATGTGGAGTAGTGGGAAAAAAATTCTCATAAAAGACTCTCCTCGTATTATTTCTTAATCTAGGGTGATTGCTATAGTGTAAAGGAGTCAGGAACACCGTGCTACTTTAAATTTTTGGATAGAAGTCGCATAATAATCCATGCATTTTCAATTTTACCAAAGCTAAAAACGCATAGTAATCTTGGAGTATTTAAGTAAAGACTCCATACAATGGAGTATTCTAAAATATTGTATCATTTGGCCTTGTCCAGAAAATAATGTTGGAGGTGGATTACTTTGATAAATATTTTTTTCAAAAGACATTATTTCAACCATTTCCCCATTACTCCTGTTAAGAAAATTAATTTTAATATAAATATTGATATTATGTAATAATATGATATAACATAAATAATAAAAATATTAATTATAAATAAAATAATAATTTAATTTTGAAACGTAAAATAAATTATAAACAAATTAAGTGAACAAAAAAAAGAAAAGAAACTTTTAATTTCATTCTAAACAATGAATTCGAGGTATTATATAACATTAATTATCGTTTATTATATACATTATATTATTGCATACCAGGCATTAGTGCCATGACAATTAATAATTTTTAGGTTTAATTATAAAATAAGTACCCAAACTATAATTTTTAGGTGCCCAAACTTTTTTTTTAATTGTCTAGGTGCCTAATTTTACTAACGTTACCACTTTAGGTACCCGGGTCATAATGGCCATTAAAAAATTCCGTTAATAGACACATGTCATGTTTTTGTAATTTTGAAAATTTTCTTTTTAAAAAAACTTAAAATAATAGTTTAAAAAAAAGCCCAAAAATTTCAAAAATTAAAAATCTCCCCCAAACTTTGAAAAACCTAAATATAATCCCTATACCCACGCCACCCGCCACCATTGTCGTCGATCGAACCTCCACCCGGTCACGCCTCCATCGGCAACTAGTTACCCGACAACAAGAATGACCATCTCGACTAAATCGGAGTCCGTAGGGCCTAAATCCCTAACGCCATGCCCTAAATCACAACTCCAAGTCGCCTCGACGACCGCCTTGATAGTAAGGACAAGTCGTCCGACTAGGGAGATGATAAGGATAATGTCAACAGTAGTGGCCGTGGTCGACAAGGGAGGTAAGGTTAAGGTTAAGTATTTGAGATTTTTAGGGATTTGGGTTTTTTTTTTATAATTTTAGATAAATTAGGGTTTTTTAAACATAAACATATTTTAAAGTCTTTTTAATATATTTTTTAAAATTATCAGAACACACGTGTCACTTAACGAAATTTAACAATGTATTGCCCTGGCACTTAAAGTGATAACGTTTGTAACATCAGACATATGGATGATTCAAAAAAAAGTTTGGGCACCTATTTTGAGAAAAGGGTATAGTTTAGTCACTTATTTTATAATTAAGCCTAATTTTTAAAAGTTTTATTAATTTAAACATGATTAGTATATAATGATAGTTTGGAGATGAAATTGGAATATTCAAAAGTTTGAACATTAATTTTGAATGAGGGTCAAAATTTGAAGATGAAATTGAAATGTTAAAAATTTTGCGGGCTAATTTAAAATGAGAGACAAAATTTAAAGATAAAATTAAAACATTCAAAACTTTAGAGACTAACTCAAAAAGATTATAATTTAATAAAAAGTGATACAATCAAATAAAATTAAAATATATTATGAAATAAATATATCATATATTATATTTAAAAATATGAATTTAAAATATAAAACTCGATCTGGTAAAATTTTGTAGATTATTTCAATCACCCCACTTTATGTATCTTTAAATTCCTGCTAGCCAAACATAAAATTAGAAAAAAAACTTGTAAATAAAGACTAAAAAGAAAACCCCAACGAGAAATAGAGAAACCAACGTCCAACTGAGAAATGGAATTTATTATTATTATTATGCCAAAGTAATATTTGTTTTAAATATTCTTAACTATTTGACAATGAATATTCGGTCATTCTATTGCAACCGCTGGTACTCGAGCCCATAAACTCTATGAACAACAACGATTTTTTTAACCACTGAGATAAGTTAGTTCGCGCGGTTTCTTAAGCTGGAAAATGAATATTTTTTCCTCAATTAAATTGAGTTATTATTGGATCATGGGTTAAATGCTTATTAATGATGAAAATAAATGAATAAGTTTGCTTACCAAATGATTTGTGTGACCATTTATATATTTTAATTTAATTAATTCGTTTATAAATATGAACGAGTAATCAATATTTAGAGTCAAATTGAATTTGACTTGAAAAATCGTATTAAAATTATAAATTCAGACTAACAAAAAATTAAAATTCCACCATCTATGGAATTTGAACTCACGTCTTCAACATAGAAGATATCATAATGGTAAGTAGATACCATTAAACCATGCTTACGAATAAGTTTGTAAATGAGGCGAGGCAGATGGTGAGTTATTTCAACTTGTTCGGTTAATTTGAAAAATACTCAATTCGAGTAGACTTGATTCGAGCTTGAAGTCGACTCGATTTCGTAGTAAGCCGAAAAAAGCTATTTGATATTCGACTCAAAAAGCTCACGAGCAACTCGGAAAAAATAATATATCATTTTAAAAAAATGAATTATTAATAATATTAACATTATGTGCTATTTATTTTTTTAAAAATGCAATTTAATATTTTTCATGTACTTGAGTTTTAGGTTTGAGTTTGAGCTTTAACCGAGTTAAGGTTAAGATTTTTTTTTTGATTTCAAGCTTTTTCGAATTTCTTCGAGCATCAATTCTTGGTTTCAAGTTCGAGTCGAGTTTAAAAATTTTAGGCTCGCGAACTTTCAAGCTGAACCAAGCTCCATTTTAAAGTTTTCGAGTCGAGTCAAGCTCAACAATAATCAAACTCGACTTAACTCGTTTACGGCCTTATCTGTGAATACACATAAGAAGCTTATTATCGTAAAACTCTTCTTTATAATATTAGAAGTTTAGGGTTCACTTTAAATCCCAAATCTCAATGAGTAATTAGCAGTACTTTGTAAAGAATGTAGAAAATTTTAATTGTTCAGAGCATTTGAAAAATTATTATGTTAAAAAATAAGGCTCAATCATTATTAATTTCTCTTCGATTGATCATTTATTAAGAGGATGCCCATCTACGTCCCTCAAAGCTTATGCTTAAATACACAAGCTAAAAAGCTAGTATATATATATATATATATATGTACATGTGCACGTTGAAATAAATGTAAAATTTTATGTTAAGAGATACGAAATTAATAAATTATATTAAAAATATAAGAACCATCAATAGAAATATAAAAAAAAAACCTTTAAATTACATAAAAATTTGAAATTTTCAAAAAAATGGCCAGATCTTCTGCATCCTTCACTCCATCCCTGAATGCATGTAGGGTACCTTGGGTCAGAATCATATCCTCGGCTTGTAGCTATGGATTATTGGCAAATATGAGGTCTAAATCATGCAATATCAGATAGCACAATCCAGACCCCAAATATCTATTGCCAGATGTATTATCCAACATTTACATTACCTGACCCATGTCCCCTTTCTTTTCAACCATCCCAAAATAACACCTTGGGTTCATGTAGCCAACTTTATGAGATAATATTTATGTATTTTGCTTAGAAACCTGATGTGTAAAATAAGAATTTAATTCAATTGATTTGTACAAGATTTACTTGGTAAGAAAAGGCAAAGAGACAGGCAGAAGGAAAGGGAAAAGGACAGAGAAGAACAAGAGTATTCATGCATCACATGGTTTGGGTCCCATAACCAGTTCATGGCTCAAATGGAGACCAAAACTTTCAGGCAAAGAAGAGGAAAAAACACATCAAAATATTTTCATGTTTGTTTGCTGTTCTAAGCTTTAATCTCTTAAAACATGGTGATTCTTATTAGTTCGATTTTGACATGCAACAATCCAAGTGAAATAAACACAGTACTTTTGTATGGAAAAACATTTGAATTTACATGATAGATTGATGTAGTAGACATGCATCAATGCCTTTAAGACTCATTTCAAAGGTTGTTTCAACTATATGAGAATTTAAACACGATTATAATACGGGAAAACACTAATTGCTAAAAAGGAAGTGTTATAATAGTGATTAGGGAAAAAACAAAAGAAAAAAGAAAAGCAACCACAGAAAAGAAAAGAAAAGAAAGAACTTTATGATAAACTTTCCACCTTTTTGGTGCTAGTTGTTTGGATTCTATGGTTATGGAAAGGGAGAGATCCTTGGACTTTTTCTGAATACAATTCATCTGTCAAACAAGAAGGGCCTACATGGACCTTTTTGTGCCTTCCAAGTTGCATATATATATATATATATATATGATACTTGAAATACATGAAAAAATTTATAATATTTACATTAGAGTTCAAGAAATATAA